AAATAGGCCAATGGAAACCATAATGTGATAAAACTGAAACACCGCATTCACTTGGCTGGGTTGGTCTTTTGGATCAAACGCATCCAATCCTGTGATGGAGGTGTTGAAATCTTGGTGCACCAAGAATGACAATCCTCCTGGAATGGCCAATCCATAGACCTTTTTAAGTTCTTGATCCACCCAACCCACCAAATACAAATCGGCGGGACCATTGGACTCATAATGTCCCTCCATGGCGGCTAATTTAGCGGGCTGATTCTTGGCCACGCCATCGGCCGAGCTATGCCCAGAAATCAATTGAGTGAGCGATACCACCAAAGCCACCGATAGGGCTATTTTGAAGGCTTTTTGAGAAAGCTCAATGTAGCGGCCTTTGGTTATGTAATAAGCATGAACGCTTAGCACCAAAAACACCCCCGCCAAAAAAGCCCCTTGCCAGGTATGAATAATTCGATCCACGCTGGATGGATTTAGAATCATGGCCCAAAAATCGGTTACTTCGGCCCGGGCATTCAGACCTTCGCCCACAATATGATAGCCAGCGGGTGTTTGTTGCCAACTGTTGGCCACCACGATCCAAACAGCCGAAAACATCGAACCCAAAAACACCCCAATGGTGGATATAAAATGCACTTTGGGCGTTACCCGATTCCAGCCAAAGAGCAATATTCCTAAAAAAGTGCTCTCTAAGCCAAAGGCAAACAATCCTTCGGCGGCCAAGGCGCTGCCAAAAATATCGCCCACATACTTAGAATATACCGACCAATTGGTACCAAATTCAAATTCCATGATGATGCCAGTGGCCACCCCGATGCCAAAGGTGATGGCGAATATTTTGAGCCAAAATTTGGTCAATATTTCATAGGTCTTATCGCCCGTTTTTAGATACAATCCTTCAAAAATAACCAACATTAAACCCAATCCAATGCTAAGCGGTGGATAGATGTAATGAAAGGCAATGGTAAAAGCAAACTGGATGCGGGCCAAAATTTCGGTATCCATACAATGGGTTTTGTTGGTAAATGTACGGTGTTTATCGATTATTTGGGGTAATAAATGTCACAAAACCGCTATTTTATTTGGGATGGTTGATCGATAACATAGGCGTTTTAGTCGATGTGTTTTTTTAATGGTTTAATCGAAAAAAAATTCAATGCGGGATGCCGTAAAATTTAATTTAAATTTCTAAATATGACCATTTTGAGAATGTTAATGATTTGATTTTCTGATGAAAAAAATGCAAGTAATTATAAATAGGTATTGTTTTTGTTTAAAGGTTTG